AAAAGCATGCCGGAACATATGCATAGCCCCACAGCAACGGTCCATAAGGACTTAATCGCCGCAAAGCTTATACACAAGGACACGACAACGTTTCACAGAAAAAGCCAAATAAATCTCTTACAAGTCGGAAGCGAAAAAATCGTTGCTCTTGTCTTTGTCTTTTGTCTGTTTTATCGGAATTTTGTCTACGTCTTAGCAAGCATGAGATCTTTTGTTAAATCAAAATTCGACTTTCCAGAAATTTGAGAAGGGAATTGCTCAAAAACGTTTTTACAGAAATGGAGAACATAACTATTGGGGCATTATAAAGACGTAAATAACTATTTCACGTGTAAACCAACTCGCTTTTTAATTGAATAGCACACGGCATAGTGCTAACCAGCACTGACTCTTTGGGTAGCTGAAAAGATAAAAACTCATAAAAAGTCATAAACATATCCTATACACCATAGTCCATATCACAAGCCCGCCATTTTGAATGGTTTTGCAATGTATCATGGGATATATATCTACCTTTCTTCATCAAAACAAATCGCTAAAATCGTAAAAACACTAATTAAATACGATTCTTCCACAGACAAAATATATTTTTTGGAGTTTTTTCTTGCTGTATTTCCTTGTGTGTTGATATTTGTTTGTTTTTTCGCTTCTGAGATTAGCTACAATATCAATATTTCCCAATGTTTTTCGAAAAAGTCTACGTTACAGACAACTGGAGCACTGACATCGTTGTCTAGACTGAGAGAAATGTTGTTAACCTATTTAACTTATCTTAAGCCGATTCATTTTAGCACACCTTTCTCCTAGCTTCCCCTGAAACACATTTGCGTCTTATAAATGATAATATACCGTTCTCTTGTTTGCGCAGCGTGACTTCCTAGATAGCCTCGCACATACTTGTATTTGCTGAACTATTTTTAACTCATAGTAGATTAATGAATAAAAGCCTGAAAAACTAAGGCCCAAGACTTTTGGACTGATCTATCGTTCCACCCGATATTTTAAAACGGAACAGATATAATGCCCCTCGCATTAGACTGATCCAATAAGTCATAGTAATTGCTGCTAGTATTTTCAGTTTGTCATTCAAACTAGCGACTTTATCGTATCATTAACAAATTTTTGTTCAAACAAATGAAAACAAGCTAAATCTCGGGTTTACAGCTCAATAAAAAAATATATAAAAGGCGAGGTCATCTGAGCCTTCATCATGCGTAGAATTAAAATGAGATAGTTATTACTCGTGTAAATAATTCCATATACACGATGGTCGTCCAAAATTTCCATCCAGTAAAGAATGTACGAAAAAGATCCACAGAAAAAAAAAATTCAATAAAACTCCGGTACAACAACAATAAAATCCAACTATGCAGCTACAAAATGTTAGCAAATCTTTACTGCTTTTTTCCAAAACGTCAATAAACTTTGTCCAATTCTCATTATTGTCATCTTTGTCTGTGTGTGTGTTTAACATCGCATGTACAACTGAGGAATTTGAACTCTTTTATAAACCGGAAACTATTACCATTTTATAACAAGCTCAGCTATGGTGGCCCATTGTTCTCATAACATTTTTTTCATGAAATAGTGATGTTGACATTGAAAATTATTAATTTTATTATTAATT